TCTGCAGATCTGGCAATTTTATTGATACAGCAACTTTATTGCCTAGCGAAATGGTAACTTTATTTCCTTCAATATATTTAGTTTAGTTTATTTTATTATTTATTCAATATGTATAAATATCTCTGTATTTTTTTGAGTTTCAGCACCGACAAGATGTTAATCTTTTAAGTACTAAACTTATATATTATATTAATAAAGGAGTATAATTAACTAAGTATAAAACTTATCCTTCGCAAACCCTTTGAAACTATTATAAAATATCTGTGACCCTTTGCATTCGTGCAATCCCTTTTTTGTGAACTCATTATATGATATTGTATTGATTCGCTGTATTGACTTGGAGTCTCTAAAGCGTAATCTTTGAAATATCTTTGAATTATCTTTGTATTTATTTTGTATTTACCTTACATGATTTATATTAAGAATAATTTCTTGAGTAATTATCTTAGTTTTATTTATCCTTTTTGAGATTTTATTGAAATTACGAAACCATCGTAACAGTGTAAAAGCAAAAATTTTTTTTTTTTTACTAATGTTTTTTTAATTTATTAATAAATCTAAAAATTAATAATTTTAATTGTAAAATTTACTAAAGAAAATTAATAAAAAATATTTGATTTTATTATAATTAATTAAAATTTTCTTATTTGTTAATTATTATTATTATGAAATATAATAATCAAATAATATCATTTTTTCTTAATTATTTTAATATAAAATTAAATATAATATAAATCTAAATAATTTTTTTATTAAGTTATAATATAATTTAAATTTATTATACTTATAATAAAAAATATTATTTATAATTTTATAAAATAATTAATAGATATTCAGCACAAAGTGCTAAATAACTATTATGTTAAAAAAATTAAATTTGATTTATAATATTATTAGTTATCTTATAAATAGCAATAATTATTTAGTTTAAAGTACCAGATAAGTGATTTATTCAATATTCTATAATTAAGCTATTTTTTAACTATTTTTTAAACTTTTTTTTATAAATAAATAATTTTTCTCACTAAATTTTTTCTTTTTATACAAATTTTATGAATAATTTACTTTTATAAACTAAATTCCATTATAAGTAATTTTATATATTAAAGCTATAAATTATATTAATTTTAATAACTAGCAAATTTTAGACTTATTTTAAATTTATAGCTAAGAAACTTTTATGGATTCATCAAAGCTGTATATTATTAAATACAATTAGATACATTAAAAAATGTATCAATATTTTAAAATTATACCTACTTCTTAGAATTACTTTTCTTTAATGAATAAATAGAAAATGAAATCTGTAAATTTATATATAGTATAAGAATAACAAAAGGCAAAATTACTCAAAAGCTTTCTTGAAAAATGCTGTTGTCTCAATAAATTATCATCTTAAAAATTCCAAATCACAATAAAATAAATCTTTTAGATAAAACTCATTTTCTAAAACTCTATGTCATATTTGATGATATCTTAAAAAAAATAAAAAGATTATAAATAGATGCTTCAAAATCACATAAAGGTTTAATAAATAAGAAATTAAAAGTTTTCTTATTTAATAATAAAGGATTACTTTAGAAAATTTTTTTGGATTTATCTGTTAGAATATTTGCAAGATAACAAATATTATAATTTACTAATTGACCTATTTAAAAATATAGAAAAAGGATTTATTTTTAAGAAATTTTAACAAACAAATGATTAAGGAAGATTAAAAAGTAATCAATTTACCTTTGAAATATCATTTCCATCAGATATTAAGATAAAACTGAACTAATGCAAATATTTGTAAATATATTTTAATGAGACTTCTAAATTGTAAAACTAAGACATTTTATTTAAGAATCTTAACAAATACATCAGGTAAATATTTTATAAATATTTTATTATTAAATGAATTTCTACTTAATTTTTATTCTTTTTAGCAATTTTCAAAAAAATATGATATTATGATCAAAAACTTAAAAAAAAATAAATTATAGGAATGTTTTAAAAAATTTGTCTAGTATATAGTATTAATATATTTGAAGAAATATCTCTAATCATTTAAGACGTAATATAGCAAGTCAATCAATATTTGATACTAAAAATAATATATTTTTATATTGACATTTAATTTAAATTATATAGTCATCTAATAGTTTTAGTAAGTCTTTACAACTATTAAATAAAAAAATAAGATGCTTTTACAAGAAATTTCATCTTCTAAATTAAATACAAGTCAAATGAAAAAAAGAAAAAGAAAAAATATAATTATAAATACAGTCAATTCTTGTTATAATGAACTTTATGTCTTAGACCTTAACTTCGTTATAAGATTATAGTAAAGATTTTAAGAGATTTGATTAGCCAATTTGCTATAATAAGAGTATTTTTATTATATTTGTTCAAAAATTTTATTATATCAAGAGTTCGCTATATCAAGAGTTGATTGTAAAACTTATTATATAAATTGTATTATATATAATTAATTAGTTTTAAATGTAATTTTATTAATACAAATAATGTTCAATAAAAGTTATTAATGTCTAATAATGATTTTTTGCCTAATAAATGATTTATTATAATCATTATTAATTATAAAAATTACAGGATATCAGATAATTTTATTTATTATTAAATTATTAATATAATAATTTAAGATAAACTGATTTTGATTCATATTGACTTTTTTTTTCAAAACCAAATTCACATATAATTAATTTTACTATGATTTATTAAATTTATTATAAATTTTATAATATAACTATACTGAAGTTAAGCTATAAATCAGTTATATTATATTATTTGTAATAAACTAATAATAATTTTTTTTTATATATAATCATCATTATAAAAATTTTTATTTTATATACTATTTTTTATTGTTCTTTATCAAAAAGAATAAAATAACAGATATAAACTAAATTATAAGACAAATTATTTTGCTCCTTTTATTAACTCTTCTATTATTATTATATCTACAAATAAGCATTATTTTGTCTATAATTCAAAAGCAAGAGCTTTATCAAAAGAAAATTAATAATTTAATTATTTTAAATATTGAACTTGCTTATCAATATAATGTTAAATCTAATACAGTTAGTGATATTTTAAAAAGGAAATCTGAATATCTAACTTTTCTAAGTTTAAAATTAGAAAAAAAAAGGTTTAAACAATTGAGGTATAAAAAAATAGATGATATTATGAAAATTTAGATATTTCAGATTTTAGTCACAAATCAAATGTTAAAAGATAATATTTTACAAAAAAAGCTAAGTAATTTACAGATAGATTTAGTTTGTTAAATTTACAGCTTCTGCAGGTTGGCTGTCAATTTTTTAAAAAAAAATATTCAATTATATATTAAATTGGAAAAGGTAACTAGTGGTCCTCTATTAAAAGAAATTGATGAATATAGGTAAAAAATTGCAGATAAATTATCTGAATATATATTGGAAGATATATACAACTGTGATAAAACAGGTATTTTAAATTTATCATTATTTATGACAATTTGTAATTTATTTATTTATCTATAATTATTTGTTTATTAGCATTATTTTAGTAATTAGAATCATCAAAACTCTTGCATAAGGACTGTAATAGAAATTAAAAAATTAAAAAATAAGTAACTATTTTGCTGATATGTAATGTTACTGGTGAAAATTAATTTAAATTATTATTCATTCATAAATATAAAAATTCTCATTTATTATATAATATAACAGTTAAAGATTCTGTAAAATATTATTAGAATAAAACTGCCTAATCAAATTAACTTGATTATTTAAAAAAATTAAATAAGTTAATGTATCTTCATTGTAAAAAATCCTATTATTAGTTGATAATGCTTTAATATATAGTAAATAATATAATTATCTTCTTTTAGTAATATTAAATTTATTATTACCATCTAATATAATTCTATATTTATAACTTCTGAATCAAGGTATTATTAAATTTTTTAAAGTAAATATTATAATAAATTTATATTTAAAATATTATAAAATCTTATATTAACTATTATTAAAATTAAGATCAAGTATAAAAAATTGTTAGTAAAAAATAATGTTGAAGAATATGATATTTTACAAAATTGAATATATCTATTCTTTCTGTTAAATATTTATAATGTTATTAATTTTATTATTGAAGTATAGAATCAGATTGATTTTCTTACTGTTAAAAGTTGTTAGTTAAAAACTAGTATTATTTCATCAGATAATGAATGAGATATAGATATAGAGCTTAATTTTAATAGGAAAAATAATAAAAATAACTTAAATGATACTATACAGAAATTGCCATATAATGATACTTACCTAAATTAGAGTATATTAATATTGATAAATTAAGTGAGAATAAAATTTTATTAGAAGTTGATGAGATTATTGAAACTCTGCGATCAAGACACAATGAAGAAACAGCATAAAATAATAATAAAAATAAATTTATTTCTAATATTTCTTTAAGTGATATATTAAACAGTATTGAAAAATTAATAATTTTCTATCAGAAATTTATAAGATTACTAGTGATGAATTAAAAATTTTAAAGAATATCAAAAGAAAATTTTTGAGATTTAAATCAAATTCTTTATTTTAATTAAATTTGAATGAATATATAATTTATAAATAGGAATTTTATTAATATTTCTAATAGTAATAGTTTTATAAACATAATAATATTAATATTAATTTATAAATAATATAATAAATAAATAAATAATAGCATATATTACAAAAAATTTGTTATATCAAGTTCTAACTATATATATTTAATTTTTTTTTAAAAGTTTAATTTATTTATATATAAATACTTTGCAATAAAAAATAAAGAATTTTTTTAAATTTATATTAAATTTGAATTTAATTTACTTAAAAATTATATTAATATATAAAGTAAATTTTTATTATTTTTAATATTTTTCTCTTTTTTTTTATTATAAAATTTTTATATTAAATTAAAAAATTTAATTATAAGATATAATATAAAAAAATAAATAAAATTTTATTTTATACCTTAAAAAATAGGTTATAAAATAAAATATTATATTGAAAAAACAAATTTAAACTAAGGATTAAAGATGTTAGATTAAATAAATAATTAACTTTAAAAATAATATAAAATAAAGTTATAATAAAAATTAAGCATTTTATACTTTTTAATTTATATTTAATTATATTTAATTTATAATTTAAAAAATATCTTTTATAATCAAATAAGTTATAAAAAATCTTACTTAATAATATAATAAATATATAAGTAATAAAATAAATAATAATAATAAATTTTATTATAAATATAAATAGTTTGATATATATAATAATAATATTATTATATAATATAATAAAATAATATTTATCTTATAGATAAAATTTTTCTAGATTAATAATCTTTAAATTTTAATATTAACAATTTTTAATAAAAAGTAATGATAATAATAGTTAATAAAAATATATAGAGTATTATTACAAAAATTTTATAAAAATGTAATTTAATCTTACTAAAATCTTATTAATATAAAAATTATAAAAATGTAATAAAATATTATTAATATTTAAATTACTAAATATAATCAAATTTTATTAGAAAAGCATTAATATAAAAATTATTAAAATGAATTCAATTTCTCTAAAGTTTATTAATTTAAAAAATATATTATACTAATTTATTATAATCAAAAAAATAAAAAATGTAAACTACTTAAATATAAAAAATAAAGTTGAAGAAATAAATAATAGTGATAATATTATCATTATAGTAATAATAAAAAAAATAACAAAATTTAGATTACATCAAAGTGATCAAAGAATAGGTTATATTTACTAATAGCTTTAGATCTAAGTATTTTTCTTTCATATAATCACTCTAGTTTTTTTATATTATTTATATTTTAAAAACATGTATTCAATAATCAAAATAATAAGTTTATACTTACAAAAATTTGAATTTTACATTATTTAATATTTTAATTACAATTATATTAAAAAAGCAAAATACTTAACAATTGTGCTTTTATCAAGATGATAAGAAACAATCTTTTATTAATAGATTACTTGACTAGTGAAAATTTTAGTAAAAAGCTTTTATGTTAAACTACTTTCTTTTACCTTTCTTTTAATTTTTATTTCTTTCTTAGTTCATAATATATTGGGATTAATATGTTGAGGTTAATGCTCATTTATTGATTATTATTTTTTATTCTTCTTGATAAAATTCATAAATAATTCTTTCTTATCTAAATATTTCTGAAAAGTTTGAGCATCGTTGATTTTAAAAATATAAGATGCAATTTTTTCTTCTTTTTTTTTAAAATATTTCTAATCTATAGTAAATTTAATGTAAATTATTTTCATATTATATTTTTTATATAGAGATAATTCTATATTGAATATATTATAATTTAAATAAAATCTATCTTAATCAACTTAAATGTTAATTATATTTTGATATGATATAATCTAAAATTATAATTTATATAATTTGTATATAAGTTACTTGCTGTGATAATCAAAATATTATTAGCTAAATTAGTTAATTTTCAGTCACAGCAGCCTCTTATTTCAGAATATTCACTTTATCTGATTTTATTGCAACATGCATTATATTGCTATTTATCATATTACATTACAATCTATTATGTTCAATTTTACTAATTAATCTAAAAATTGTATATTAAATATATTATTTATCATACTTTATGTTTCATATCCTATGTATGATTAAACATTTACCATTTGATTTATATTAATTAATTCTAAATAATTATTAAAATATAATTATTTATTATAAATTTAATTAGTTATTAATAAATTATTTTTAAAAGGTAATCTATATCATTAAATATATTATTTTTTTTTAAAAAAAAATAATAATAATAATAATTAATTATTCTTTTCTTTTTTCTCATATTTATCAGGTATAATAACTTTTCCAACTAAAATTTCACTTAATGTAAATAATAAAATCATAAATAAAACAAATAAACTACTAATAACAAAATGACTTATAGTAGTACCGATTTCTAACCAACTTCCATCATCCCTAACTAAATAAAAAAAATTCAATGTCATAATATCAGATATTGATAATACTAATAAAAATAAACTAAACGATGATAATCTAATTGATTTGTTTAATACAGAAAATATTGAAGATACAATAAAAAACGGTATTAAAATTTTTAATATTAATAATCCACCCATTAAAAAAGGATTAAATATTGTTGTAAGTCTATAAACACTTTGTAATGAAAATGAACTTAAACTTGCTACATTTCCTGTACCAAAAAATCCAACTTTAATAAAAAATAAAAATATTAACGAAATTCTTGAATCCCTCATTTCTAATTTACGATGCCCTTCATTTTTTTGTTTTGAATGTTCAGATGAAAATAATTTACGTTCAATTTCTAACCAGAGTAAAAGTGTTTGTGTTAAGAAATAATAAAATAATACTTCATATGAAATACTAAGTATAACAAATAATGGCGCGAATGCCAAAGAAATCGTTGTAAGTCGTTTTAAATAGTGTTGTTGTTTTCCAAACCCATAAAAGAATGGTGTGGCTGTTGCAATGACTATTTTAAAATATTATATATATATATAAAAATTAATACTGGAATATAAAAAAATTCATATCCAAACTAATTTCTTACCTAATATAATCCAAGCGGCATATTGATTTATAACTGGAAGACCAATCTTCTCTTTCAATTTGCTTGTAGTATCATAAACTATTACCATACTTAAACCCACTCATGACAACGAAATAAAAAAACAAAGAAATGATTAGTTAACATTAAATATTGTCTGAAAAAAATTGGAAAATTAAATAGTTAAATTATTACCTGAAATATTGTCATTGCTTTTGAACCATTTTCTTCTATTGTATATTTGGAACTCTTGACCATAGAATTAATTCCTGTAATAAGAATTAAGATTCCGCCATAGATCCTAAAAGGAGTTTTCAGAAAAATATTATAGCATACCTTATAAATTTATATAAATAGATTAAAACGACACTCACACTAATGATATATCTTCTCCCTTTTCCACAGGCATTAATGTAAAAATACTCGAAGCCAAACATGACCCCGACCAGTAAATTAAGAGTAATTTATTATCGGATCGAACGTTTAATGGCATAACTAATGGCCATAATGCTGCTAATACAAAACACACACTAAGAATACTCCTTTCGAAATAACTGTATACCTGTAAATAATAATCCAATTAGCTTTTTCACCTTAAAAATTGTCCGTGTAAAAAAATGTATCTAGAAATTCACTTACAAAAAGTTCCAATGCCAGAATATGCCCAATTACATAACCTACAAGTGCAAACGAACTCCGTGAGATTAAAGCTAATTTATAACTTTCTACGAATATTTTATAGCCCAGTAAATCATCCCAACAAAAATAAACCGCAAACATTACGTATGTGTAATATGTTGCAGATGATTCTTGTATATACAAAATAGACACCAAGACGACTAAAGAAGTTATAGCAAGGAAATTAATCTAAATATTATAAAGTTGTTAAAGATCAATGTATTCACATAGTTCATAAAGAAATTAACAAAAATAGATTATTTACATATTTTGCTATTGTAACTGATTCATTTGATAATGTATCTGACTTTTTGAAGGGCGAATTATTGGGCAAACAATGTTCTTTTAAAGTGTATTTTAGGCTATACAAAATCCAACCCACATATCCGGCAGTCACAATAGATCTCAACATCAGCCAATCATATCTAATACCAATAAAAAATGTCAATAAAACAAAATATAATAAACAAATAATGAAAATAAATTTATAAAGATATTCACGTTTGTAAATATCTCAATCCTTCCAACGAAAGCTGTATCAAAACCTCACACGTGGCTTCGGCCGAATCGTATTGTCCAGCATCAATCAATTCCTGAACTTTACCAAGTAAAGCTTTCCGATTATGAGTAGAATTACTAAGTGGTGCAAACGGTTTAAACATTATTTTTGTTTGTTTCTTTAATTCTAAAAAAAAATTAAATTAAATTTTTAAATCATTTCAAATTATAATCAAATCTTACACACTAACCATATTTGACTTGATACTGTTCGGATATTTCTTTGGCATTGACGAATAGGCTTTGTGCTTTAAACAAGGGTGTATTATTAAGATATACTAAAGGCAATTCTCCTACAGAATTGACCGGATAATTAATACCGATTAGGGACGCCTATTAATAAATATATTCGTTAAAAAAAAATATATTTATTTTTTAGTTAATGATAAAAATCTAATTAACATAATGAACACACCATAAGTGGTGCTATATCCGCTTGTAAAACATCATTCCGCTGAACTTCATCCAAATACCAATCGGCAGAAAAATCATCATGTCCAATTGGATGTGTCTTATTCGGTTTTTTCACACCTGCACCCCATGCAATTATTGGCGTTCGCGTATTATCTGGATGTCCATCTCCATGATTGCCTAAATTAATAAAGCTTGTTGGAAAAAAAAAGTTTCTCGGAAATATATGCAAATCCACGAATTAATTACCTCTGTTACTCATTCCATGATCTGCAGTGAAAATATAGGCCGTTTTCCCATCGTGATCGTAATATTCTTCAATTAGCTCAACAGTTTTGCTTATCCCTTCATCAACAACTTTAATATTATCCATATATTCCTTAGAGTGAGGGCCATAAGCGTGTCCATTGGTATCCAATCCCAGTAAATGTAAAAATATGACAATTTTATCATCATGAAGTTGCTGATATAATTTAAAATTGGATGAAGAATTTGCCAAAAGTTGGGCAAATTGATCAAATACCCAAACATCCAAATCTTTGGCATCTATGAATCAAAAGCTATATTTAGCTTGAATAAATTAATAATCAAAGATCTATAAAACGTTACCTTTGGCAAAATTTTCACTTTCATGACCATACATAAAAGTTTCAACTTTATCGGGATCTGAAGCCCCATCAGCAAACATTGGTAATATATCAGGTGATCCAAATGACCACGTATGTCTGCTTTGATTAAATACTGAATCGAATTCCACAGGATTAGATTTCCAACCTAAAAATTCATAAATAAGTTTAAGCCTTTAATCTAATGAAAGGAATGGTAGAAAAAAAAATTGATAAAATAAAAACCTTTAGTAACAGCACTGACGTCTTCATAAAATCCTGCAATAATAGCGACATGTCCAGGCCTTGATTCTGTAGGTACTCGAGTATGAGAAACTCCAAAAGTACCATGATTTAAAATTATGTCTCTTAAAAAAGGTGCCTTTGTGATTTGTTGATCTGATATGCCATATTCGTCTGGATGTAGTTGAAACAATTTGTCTGCTCTTAGTCCATCGCCTAAAAACATTAATCGATTGATTCTTTAGTAAAGCATCAAACTACAATTATAATTGGCAAAAAAAAAAAGTTGATGTTTACCCACTATAAGTACAAGTCTCCTAGCAGGTGGTGATAAGCCAACCTATGGCAAAGAAAAATATTTATTAAAAATAAATAAATTAAACGTTAAGCTATTTCATTTCTGTACCTTATAAGGTGTCATTCCATGTACCAAAGGTGAAGTGAAATAAATATCAAATATACTCCATATATATGTCACATGAAAAATTATTCCTATAAATAATAAAGTGTTTCTTGGGATTGCAAGATTTGCCATATTTTATGATGAGGACTTGAAAAATTTATCGATTTTATATCAGATCAGTAATAAATTACGTGTCGTATAAAGATTTGATTGGTCGATGATCCACACTTTACCGGCGCAGTCATTACTAAAGAAAGTTAATGGTAATTTGATCACGTGACATCGTTTCAAAAATTAGATTTTGTGCTATACAAATAAATAAATATTCTACACATTTAAATTTCATTTTTCTTTTTTATTTACATGAAAAATTAAAAATAACAAAATATTTCCGTTGGAAAAAGTGGTGATCGTGGTGATCGTTACTATTACCATTACAATCTTTGATTATTTAATGATATTTGAAAGGGCCTATCAATGAAACCTAAAAATTCACGAAATGTACAAGAATTCCAATTGTTTACATCTTAAAATATATGAATGATATGTTCAATGTATACATCTTGTTTTTAAAAAAAATTTTTTTATTTAAAAGATGGTAGTTTGTATAAAAGCAATGCTATAATAACTCAAAACTACTAAAATAATTGGAACGATAAGATTTAAGAATAGAAATTGTTACTTGTATATAGTATAATAAAAATAAAAAATAAAAATTTTTGAATGAGTATAAATATAAAAAAATTTAAGAACCTTCAAGAGGATAGAAAGTAAAGCAGTCATTGGAATAAATGCAAGAGTAAGTGCAAAAACCATATTTTTGAAAAACACAGAATCGCAAGGATGATATTTGCAAAAAAAAAGATTGAAGTAAGATGCTTTGGTAGATGAGTCAAAATTTATAATTTATGGATCAAATAGTAGAAAGTATTGTTAGAAAAAAATAGGAGAAACTATCATATCAAACCTACAGTTAAATTTGGATGGGATAATATTATAATGTGATGATGTTTTGCATCTGATAAAGTTGGTAACATATGCTGAATTTATGGATATATAAATTGATTTATATTGTTAAATTTTAAGAAACCTATTAGAAACCATCACGTAGCATGGAATGGATAAGAATAATATTATTTTTCAACAGGATAATGATCCTAAACACACTGCATATCTTACAAAATAATAGTTTGAAGATAATAGAATTAAAGTTCTTGATTAATCAGCACAATTCTCTGATTTAAATTCCATAGAACATCTTTGAAATAAAATGGATTATCATCTGAAGTAACCTGTTAGAATACAGGATCAGTTATGAAATGCAATTCAAAATATTTTAGGTTGAATTGAAGTCTAATATATGCAAAAATTTGATTAATACTATGCTAATTTGTATAAATAATGTAATGGTGACTATACAAAATGGTAAATAATTATTTATCAAGTTTTAATATAATTGAATTAATTTTTGATTTTTTTATATAAAAAAAATTTAATAAAAATGATCAAAAGAAAATAATTATTAAATTAATTAAAAGTAAGAAATTATAAAAATTAATCATTGTTAATAAATGATATATTATTTAAAGATAAAGAATAAAAATTACAATATATTTATTACTATTTTGAGAATTTTATTTAGATATTAAATAAAGATTAATATTATTATAAATTGCAATATTTATTTATAAATAAAAAATAAAATAAAATAAAATAGGAATAATAAAATATAATTTCTTTATTTATTTTCTAAGAAAAAGATTGAATTCTAAGCCTCAAATATATTGTATATATATAATATTAAAATTGAGTTATGAATATAGTAAATCATATGATTTATAATAGATTTTAATAGAATCTTTTTATTTAAATAATATCATTTAAAAAAAAATAGTAGTCAAATTTTATATTTCTAGATATTATTATTAGAATTTAAAGTAGAATTAAAATTAGAAGTAGAATTAAAAGTAGGTAAGAAAATTAGAGAATTTGAAAATTTGAAAATTTTTTATAAAAAAAAATGCTAATTATCACAATTAATATAGTTTTAATAAGTATATATAATACAGCAAATAAAATTTAACTATTATTTTTTAGAGTGATATTAAAACAGTTAGGATTCTCTATGTAAAATTATATCTGTTATCCTAATTATATAAAATTAAATTAAAATTATTCTAAACTTAGGTAAATATAGTTTTATAATAATCTTTATTGAATAATAGTCTTTAATATCAATAGATGAAATAAAGTTAGCAAAATATAATTTAAAAATATTTGAAATAACTAGTTTTAAAATATAATATAATATAACTAATTAAATAAATTCAAATATTTTATGCTGACCTTATACTTATTATAAAATATGTAATACTGCAGTTACAGTTAAAATCTAGCTACTTAAATACTGTTTGAAGAAAGATAAAAAAACTTTAATTTGATTTGTAATATTAAAAATTTAATAGAATTATTAGCTTACTTTTTTAATATAATAAAAGAACATCAAGAATATTATAAATTTTTATTAATGCTAAGTTCTTATAATATCAAAGTATTTTAAAATAATTTAATATACAATGCTTAGCAAAATTTAATTGCTATTTAGATAGGATTTTTCTTTACTTATAATTTATAAGTATTAGGTTAAAATCTTTATTATTAATCATAAATATATATTCAAAAGATTCCTTTTCAGTTTTTTATTATTCAAAATTATGATAATAAATCTTTATTATAGTAAAAAGAGAAAAATAAGATCAATTGTTATATAATTTTGAGTTATAAATGTAAATACTAATAATCAAAAGTTAGAAAAAATTTTTATTACTAAAAATTATATCACTAATAGTATACTATAGTTAATTAGTATAATAAATTACTAGTGAGAAGAGATAAAGTAGATTATATACAACCCTTATAAATACACTTTAAGAAATGACTTGTCAGCAAAATTAGATTACATAAATTTGATAAGTAATTACTAATAAAATGCATTTAATTCTAAAATAATAAAATATAAAAATATAATATTCTAACTATTTGTTAAGAATAATAACTTAAAAATAAAATTGTAATAATGTAGAATACTATCAATTATATTTTTATCTTAGTATTTTCCTTTATTATATATTAATATTTTTATTTCATCTGTTTAGCCCTCTATTTCTTATAATTTATAAGTAAGATTATAATGATAAATTTGTAACAAATTTTATAAAAAAAAATAAAATCTTTTTTTCACTCAAATTATAATCATTAAATCTATACAATTATACTATATGCATTATTATATATTATATAAATTAATTAATATATAATACCAATTTTACTAATTATATAGTATAATTTATATATATACTCTTATGATTAAAGAGAAATAGTAATAATACTAAATTTTTTCAGTAAATATTTTTTCAATAATTTTACTAATAATTTTTTCTAAGTGGAAGTGATCATTCTAAAACTTAAATTTTACTCTTCTTTTATTTTATAAGATTTGCAACTTTTTGATTTTTTCTTCTATAAGAAATTAATAGTATTATGCTCTTTCTTCACTTCTTTTTACTTTAGATATATTAATAGTAATATCAGTTTTAGTTTTAAATGAAGAACTCTCAGAATTAAAAGTGCTATCCTTAGATTTAGATGAAGTATCATTTCAGAAAAGTCTGAATCTAACTGTTTATCTACTCTAGCTATATAAATTTAATTAATCTTAAATTTTTTCCATTTAATGCTAGTATAATTAGAAAAGAGAAAAAATGATATTATATCTATACCTCTATTTCTGAAAAAAAAATATTAAGATCTAGTATAATGCTTGTACTTAAAGGAAAAAATTAGTATATTTTTATAATCTCGTTATCATATGTTAACGTAGTATAGAAAAGGTGGGTTATTTTTTTCTAATCTGTAAATATTTTTATCTTATGATATATTATTCTTTCAGTAATAATCACTGGATACCTAAAAAAATCCTGAGTAGAGATCGTCAAAACAATTGTAATATTTATACTTTTTTGATGAGATCTGCTCCTTCATATTTGAAAAATTTATTGTTGCAATTTTATCTTTTATTTTCATAGTTCTACAATAATAGTATTTAATAATCAATTCTATAGTAATAGTAATCTATAATGATTATAGATTATAGATTATAAATTAATCCCACTCATCCTTCTTACGCAAAGCTCATTTATATATCTTATTTCTTGATTTTCAAAAAAAAATAAAATCGTAAAAAAACAATTTTTTTTATTATTTTATTATTTTTTTAATTAAATTAAAATTTAAAAATTAAACAAATTTTGACAATCCAATATACATTTTTAATCCAACTTGAATCTCTAATAAATCTAATAAATTCAACTCAACCTAATTTTTATCCAATTTTTACCCAATTTGATTATATTTTTTTGAATCAAAATCCTATAATAAACAAGTTCAAAAATCCACTTCCTATCTATCTATTTATCTACATTTCTGAAAATCTACTTTATTTATTCCTTCTTAAGGAACAATAAATGGCTTCTTACTTTTGATCTTTAAATTGAACAAGAAAAAAAAATAATATATTACACCAATTTCTCCTTTAAGCTATCTATCACTTTTTTAATTTTAATCAGAAAGAATTAAAATCTTTTCTATTAAATCATAAAAAAAAATGGAAGATTCAATTAAAAAAAAAATTTAGAGGGTTATCAAAAATTTTTGAATACTATTTTTAGAATGCGATTAGTGTATATAAAAGGTAAAGTTTACATACATTTATGTTAGTTTATTTGTTTATTTTGCTTTAAATAACATTTTGACTTCAAATTTCCCTTTTCACTTTTTTTTGTAACTTACGATTACAACTGCAATAATGGAAATAAATAATAAATTAACTGCAAAGCAACGTGATACAATAATTTATTGTCATAAAAATGGTGATTCACTTGGCCTGCCCAAAGCCTAGACCTTAACCCAATTGAAAATTTATAGGCAGAGGTGAAAAAAAATATTAGAAATAAAAAGAAAAACCAACTAACCTTGCTGATCTTAAAAGGAATGTTAAAAATGCATGAAAATTGATTCCAAAATATATAATTAAAAATTTAGTCAATAGTATGTCAGCACAAATTCAGGCAGTA